TTGGAAATCTATATTTGGGAGCTCAAAATAATGAATGTTCTATCTACTGAGCTACTACGCAGTAAACTTGTGCTTTATGTAACTTATGCAATAAATCCCACTCTCACATATTCTTTGAATGCCACTACTCTTTTCTTGTGTTGAAGAACTTCATCCCAGAAGGACACTTTTTCCATATGGGTTGTACCTTATCCAAAGTTTTCTCTCATATGGATACTATATCCTCAAAAATCATGAAGTTCTTCCTTTTACCTACTCATATTATTATGTATCATCTCTGGATGGAAAGAAATTATAGAATATTTCAAGATACTTCTACCTTGCCAGAAATGTTGATGGAAAAAATTCATTTTGCTATAATTAGACAATAAAGCAGGAAGAAACAATATAAAGTTGAACCACCCGACCTGATCCAAAGGTTATATTTCAAGAAATGGTTGGGTTTTTTTCTTTCCCACTATTTCCTGTTATAATGCTTTTTTCTTAATCAAATGCTATTAGTTCTCTGTTGGTTTTGTGCTTTATTTTACTACAATTTGCTACCTGTATAATTGGTTCACTTGAATCTTTGGGTGCTAAAGGTTCATCATTTTCTACTACTAATTTTTGCAGTTTTCACTATATATGCTTAGTGTCGGAATTGTTTTCCTCTCCTTAGCACCTTAGTAGAGGTTTTTGCCTTTAACTGCTGAAGCATGGCTGAATTCCTCTTTTTGCTGTTCTTGTGAAATTATCTCTTGCTTTTGGGTTTTGTTGATGGATATATCTATGTTTTGTTATGAATCTGATGTCACTGGGGAGAATCTGTTCGTTTTGCTATGCTATGTTCAGTCCTCTTGCATCTTATGGCTGTTTGGATTATGTGGTATACTGAGTATTGCCTTGTGGTATACTGGGCATTTATGGAAGGTTATGATTATGAATTTTGGATATCGATGGGCCTTTCTGGCTTGCTGCGTTATATGCTGCTCCTATTGCCTTTTGATTCAGAATATATTGATGCCTCTCATGTCGCCTTTCAATTCAGACTACATCGATGCCTCTCGTGTTGCCTTAGTTTTGTCAGGCAGGTTTAATTTTGGGTCTTGGCCTCCCTCCCATCGGATGGTGTTCAGGTAACCAATATAGATTCTAATTCGGATACAATGATATATTATGTATTTTTTTGAGCCTCTGTCTGTTTTTGTCCTTTCTTTTTTGTTGTCTTTTTAAGTTGTTTTTTATTTTTATTTTTTTCTTCAGCCTCAAGTTTTTGTAATGGCTGTTTTTTGGTTTACTCTTGTACACCTAATTTTGATTTTATAGAATAGGCTATGCCCTCAATTTTCAAAAAAAAAAAAAAAGTTCTAGATGGAATGCTGTACAGGTGGAAGATTGCTATTTTTCTAGAACTTCTGTAACTGAAAATTGATGCTGAGTTTCTGGTTTTTAAGACTTTGGCTGGCTTTTCTGGACTATTACCGTTTTTAGAATTTCTAGTGGCCATTATCATATTGAGCGAGCAGCATCTTCTATTTTTGGATTAGGCGACGATGAGAAATCAAAACCTCACGGTTCAACTAGGCCGTTTGTTTCCCGATACCTCGATGTGTGACCCCATTACAGATACTACACTTATCTCACCGTCTGCCTTGGGGGGAATTATTGGGTCCGGTCACCGGACGCTGCCCGGAGTCAATGAAAATGCGCCGCGTCACCCTCGACTCGGTACTGTTCAGTACCTAGCTCAGTATGCTTGGTACTATGAAGTACCGAACTCAGTACTTCACAGTACCGAGCTCAGTGCTGCTCGGTACTGTGAAGCACCGAACGGTAAACTGTGTCTGGCATTCGAACCTAATAATTTCCCCTGCCTTCGACGGGGCCCTTGCATTGATGGACATATCATTTTGATTATCTACGAGTTCCCTTTTGCGGGGTTTTTCTTCGTTTTTCGGTTTCTGAACTTTTTTACTTCTGATGTGGTTATTGATTCATTTTTCAAAAGTTCCACTCTTTTTGATGTTTTCAAGATACGTCTCTTATTGTTTTTTGGGTTTTCTTTTGCTCTTACAAGTATAACGGTTGTTGCGAAGTATACCATGCAGCGAAAGAGAGCACAAATAAGAAAGAGAAAATACAGGAAAAAAGAAAAATAACATTAAGATTTAACGTAGAAAAACCCAAAAGAAGGAAAAAAATTATGGAGCCACACCGAGATCTCTCTCTCTCTCTCTTATTGCATCTCTTTACTCTTGCATCGTTCTCTTCTCAGAACTAACAAAGAAACCCACTTCAATAACTCCAAGAGACGCAACCTTTCAAGTTAAACATGAAAAACGAGAAAGAAAAATGTCCATACCGATTATTAGTGCCGCGAAACTGGGGTCTGGAGCACCACGGTGCTTCGCTCTCTATCTCAAAATGTAACATTTGTACATCACCACAATGTTGAGTATCCAATATCTTAACATTATACTATTATGCGGGGGAACCAAAAACTTTTGGGGGGAAATCCCCTGAACCTAAACAGGAGGCCTCCCTGCAACCCTAGCCAAACACGATTGATAATTGAGTTATGGGTTAACA